TTTGGAGGCTCATGTATGAAGCAGTTGGATTCTAGAAAGTTGGTTCTTCTAGTTTTGGTTGAGCGTCGGGTGTGGATTGTTTGGTTGTTTTCATTTAGTTTGCAACTATGTATGAGCTGATTGGATATGCTGGATTTGGCTAAAAATGAGCTGTGGAGCTGTGGGCTTGGAAGTCTCTTATTTAGAGTCAATCAGGATCTGGTGGGCAGGTTTTTATATTTAAAAGTTGGTTGGGTGTGCAGCCCTTAGGACTGGTGTTAATAATGTTTGGAATGAACATTCTTCTAAGTGGTACAACACTGGTCTGTCAATTTGCTGTACTGAGGTAACTTGGAGTTTCTGTGATGCTGATCACTGTACCACTGGTGTGTCAAATGCCATAATGATTACCCATGGTGGATAGTGTTTGGTGAAGCTCCCAGATTAAGAAAGACTTGGAAGTAGGAGTGGCATCCACTTCCTAAACAACATGCCTCTGGAAACTTTATGAACTTAGAGAAATGACAATAGTTATAGAATAATATTCAGGTTTTTTGTTCATAGGGTCACTATGAGTTGTGCTCGAATTGAAGGCACTTAACCACAACAACAATGACAAAATGTGGTAAGAACTGTCAAGGAACTGAGACTGGGACTATAATTTGGCTATGATGTCAGGCAAGGCATTTGAAAGAAGGTACTCCTTGAGATCTGAAGGATGAGAATGAGTGGGCCATGTGAAGAGTCAGGGGAGGAGCATTTCAGGAATACGGAGAGAAACTACGATGGGAAACTGAGGACATAGCATCAGTGGTCCAAGGAAAGGTGATGTGGTTCTAGACTCGACTTCTGACAAGTGTAAATGGAGAAACCTGAATAGATTTGGGCTCTATTTTGGAGATAAAAATGGTAAGACTTAGTAACAGATTAGATGTGGAGAATGAGAGATAATAAATAATGAAAGAACCCCCCATATTTTTGGTTTAAGTAAATGAGTGGTTGGTACTTTGTCTTGTAAGGAGGTCTATGATGAAGGCATAAGATTGTTTTTACTTTGGTGGAAGAATCAAGAATTCTTTTTTGAATAAAATATATTTAAGATACATCTATAATGTCCTAAGGATCGTGTTAAGTAGATATTGGAACACACATACCTGGAACTCAGAAGAGATGTTTGAGCTCAACCAGAAATCTGAGACTCATTGGGCAAATAACACAAAACAACAAAAACCTCCACTGTCATCAAGTAGTGATTCCATCTTATAGTGACCCTCCTTCAGCTTTCAGAGGCTATAAATATTTATGGCAGGAAGCTACTTATCTGTTTTTTTGTTGTTTTTTTTTTTCAAGAAGCTGCTTGATTTGAACTCCCAACCTTTCAATGCACAGCCTGACACCTGTACTATTCCATCAGGATTCCTTAGATAGCATTTAATGCATGGGACAGTGAGACCTCTTGGATGGTATTTCTTAACTCTGGCTAGGTCCCATTATTGATGATTCTGATTTAACTGCCTTGATGTGGGGTATGGACATCAATGTTTTCTAAAGCTCCCTGGCGCATTTTTGAATCCTGCAGTGTGGAGAACCACTCAACAGTCTACGAGTGTAGTGTAACCAGAGAAGAGGATCTAGGACTGAGCTGGTACACAAAGTCTCAAACATGACACATCTGATTTTCGCTCGTCATACCTTCCTCCTGTTTGAACGCTTTATTCGGTGGAAGGCTCTAGCCTTTGGACAAGAGTTGGTCCATTTTGTACCATGGCAGAATGCTCAGTCCCTTACTTAAGTCGCTGTGCTTTTTGTATCTAATGCCTTTTCTGGAGGGACAGCTTAGGTGCTAAGGAGTTAGGTGCATCACCTTTCAGTCCATCACTAGAGCGCTACCCATGATGGGCCTTAGTGGTGGAGGATGTTTGTCTTGCTTAAAGTTGAGGAACCTGAGCATCTTTTGCTTCTCAGTGCACTGTAAAGACTTTACTGTGATGGTGGCCGAACCTTCAGATATCTACAAGGGAAAATGTGCATGTGTCTATGTATACACCTACCTGCAGGTTCTCTCAGCATCAGGTTCTCTCGGGCATCTGTAGATACTTGATGGTTCATCTTTGAAAAGAATTTCTAAAACGTCACTGAGGCTTCAAATTTTCACCTGTGCTTACATTTTCCGTGCTTATCGGTGCTACTCCGAGTCCTTTAACCTGGCTGTCACCTCCGATTGCTCCTTGAAGTTCAGACTAAGAGTAAATGAGAGATTGCTCACATTCCCACATAGTTTCCATGAAAACCTAATAATAGAAGGCTGTTTCTTAGGGCCTGTGCTTTCGAGTGCAGGCAGAGCTTATTAAATTTTCTTGTGACCCGTGGCCCATACAAAGTCTCAGTGCATAAAGGAACCATGCAGGATCACTTAGCCTTTTCCTTAGCCCTCAGGGTATTTGCCATTCTGAAAATATGACCTATTAAAAAAGAATAACTTCCAGGGACAATCCCATAAGCTTTCTTGTTAATGTTTACAGCTGTATCAATACCATACCAATAATCTGCCTCCCGCCTTCCATGACTTCCCCTCTTCCATGGCTCTCACTGTGGCAAGCCTTTGCTGTGGAGTCAATTCTGCCTTATAGTGACCCTATGAGCTGCCTCATAAGGTTTCTGAGGCTGTAAATACTTACAGGAGCAGGTACATTTCTCATTTGCCTGCAGAGCACTTGGTGGGTATGAACAGCTTTACTCATTGCACCACAGCTGCACTCCCTAACTGTCCTGGTGTCCCCTAACAAGTCCAGTGCAATTCTCCAGTTGTGAGACTAGCTTGACCCCATCATATGTGTTGGTGGAAATTTGATGTCTTAGGAGGCTGTAGTTATTTGTGTAGTGGAGTGGGTGAGCCACTAACTTCACGTCTTTTGAACCCTTTCTGCGTTGAAAACTGCTTCAGCACAAGTGTCCACTGTGCTTAGCTCTTTAGATCTGGGTATTTTCAGTTCTCCATAGTGGCTGGGAGAAGAAGGGAAGGAAGACTAGAATACTGGCATTGAGAGGGCTTAGAAAGGCTTAGAAAGCAATTCAACAGGATACGAGATTCCATTCGAGTCCTGGATGTGTTTATCAACAGCTGAAGACCCTGGACTAGTTGTTCAACCTGCACTTCTCATTTGATTCCTTATAATTTAAATGCCTTACTTGCCTGAGGTCAAGGGGCTGGTTTGGATAATCTCACAAGGTTCTTTAGAATTCTGAAATCTATTTACAAAAAATCCCCAATAAACAATCATAAATTGTAGTGAAAACAATTGCTAACAGACAATGACTTTCTCTGGGTTTTCTTGATAATTTTTCTTCTAGGTCTTATAGTAGATACCCACAGCTTGTACTGGCAGGAAGTTGGGTGGTGGGTGCATTTCAGTTAATGGGCCTAGTTGGAACACGTTTGGCTGTGGAGACAGCTACACTCATATTACCAAGCCTTGGCTTCCTGTCTGTTTTCTTTGGGCTGGGCAGGCAATGAAAAAGGAGACAGGAAAATACATTTTGGGGCAAATAAAATAAGGAATTTGTCTTATGAAGACAGCTTATAGTTGAGAAATTCTAATGTTCAACTTAACCCTATCCTGATATATTCCGGTTGTTCTGTACTTAAGTAGAAGACGAACTGTTCTCCCTACCCACAGAAATATGATGTTCCATTCTTAAAAGCTTTTAAATAATTTTTCATTAAGGTTTTTTTTTTCTTTACAGATCAATTAGTTTTTCTTCAAAGAACACGTTCTTAATCTAGCAATCGTTTTAGTCCCTCTTTTCTGATTTAATTTCATTCATGGCATCATTTTACTAAAGTCATTTTACTGAAATGTCTGGGCTCCTCTGGTACAGAATATGGAAGAGAAAGAGTTCACAACATAGTTTTGTTTATGTATTAGGTGTTGTAGTGCTCACCACAGCACCACCCAATAAGTTTATGTTTAATAAATGTACCAAGGTTCAGATGTTTTTTTTTTCTGTGAATACTTTTACCAAGACAACACCATAGTCTTTTTGTTAAGAAATATTTGATGATTTGAAGGCCTATTAGTTCCTTGAATATGTTTTAGTATACATAGTTCCTTAAGATCCCAGGTTTCTGTTTATTTTAGACTTGGAATAATTAGAGGACAGAAAAGCAGTTTTGGGTTTTGTTTTTTTCCTTTTAATTCTAGATACTCACAGTTACATGTTAACTCAAAGGATATTTCTCAGTGTGTTAACAATTGTTTATTTTGTTCTTAAAAATAAACCACAGTAATAGATTTAAAATACTAATTCTTCCTTCCCCCGATTTAATAGTTTATATACTTTCAGACACAACATATCTAAATTTTGTGAGAATTTCAGTGTCCTCGCCTAAAAATAAAAAGGCAATATTTTGGATTCCTCCCTCTCCCCAGAGGGTTTCTAGGTTTGAGCTTTTTAATGTTCTAGAAAAGAGCCTCATTAAGGTACAGTTATATCATGAAAAAGAAAAATGTCACTATGGTCATTATGGAAATTTCCCTTTGACAGATGAGCTTGATTGACAGTGAGGCCAAGCTTTGGTGACTTTGTTTCTCCCTCAGCTGTGGGGTGCTTCATTTTACAGGCAAGGACTCCGAACTTTGAGAGGTTTCTTCCTGTGTGAAACCAGCAAACAAGCCCATTATTCCACTCACTGTTTCCACCCTTTCACTGAGAGTGTCTGAGGGTGAAGGAAGGTGTTCACAGAGCAGCTCTCTGGCCTTTCTCTGTTTCACCTTCAAATTGAACCCTGGGAGCCCCTACTTCTCCACTTCTGGAAAAGAACTAAGGAATGCTTGCCACCAGATAATGCTTATAAAGCAGTTTGAAACAGAAGGCATTATGATACAGACACATCATTGTAAATATCAGTATTGATAAATCCTTGACTTAACCGACCAGTATGTATGTTCACATATCTATTTTAGCATGGTCAATTGTTCAGCTAATTAATATGCTTTTATTTTATGATTTGCTGTTTCCAGGGCACAGACAGAAGCTTGATGACTCTAAACCTAGTTTGTTCTCTGACCGCCTCAGTGATTTAGGGCGCATTCCTCATCCCAGTATGAGAGTAGGTGTCCCGCCTCAGAACCCACGGCCCTCCCTGAACTCTGCACCAAGTCCTTTTAATCCACAAGGACAGAGTCAGATTACAGGTAAGACAGACTCCTAGGTTTCACTTGCACAGGCTCTGGCAGGCTGGGGGTGAGGGGCTTACCAGATAAGATGTGTGCACTTCAAAACACCTGCGGCTGTGAAGTGGCTTATTATTACTCAAGAAATCAAGACTTGAAGATACCTATTTGTTTTTTATAAAAATAAACTTCAGGATTCATTCAATAACTTTGGGATGAAAGTCTGGGTAATTTCTACTACTGCTGTGCTCTGCTGCCATGCCATTGGTGGAATGGTAATAACCATGCTCATTGGGAGAATGTTACAAGTTTTCTTTATTGTGTCCAGGTGGTAAAGGGGGTAACTTCACACCCTCAGTATTAGGAAATTAGTGCTACCATCTCAGATTTGGGCTTCAGTTTCTTGTGTGCATAAATATTTCATTCAATTTGTTTGAACATTGCCCAGGGCTAACAGGAAACCTTCATTTGTAGTTCTAACGCAAGGTCAGTGTGCAGCTCAGTGGGCAGACAGAATTCACTCTGATTCACATTATCTTCAGTTCCTCATGACATTTCTCCTTTGTACATTCTGGTAAGCGACTTACTTGGCTTTTCTTTTAAAAATTGACATCAGTATCACATTACATACAGATTAATCATTCACATTGAGTGTAATAGGATCCTCAAGCCTTTTACTTTTTTCCTTCTGTGCCACTGGTGCAAAAAACAAATCTTATTTTAGGACAAGTTTGATGATAGGTATGGTGACAAGAGAGTGTGTTGATCATCACTGATCTTTACTCTGTAGATCACAAGTATTGGGAACCGAGAGGAAGTCTACATATGAGAGAGTTGCTATTTTCGGCAGAGTGGACTAGAATAGAGGGAAAATAACTCAAAACAAAACTTGTAATAAATTCTCAATATAGATCTTTCCTAAAGGCTAGATTTTTTTTTCATAGAGTGGTTAGAGTTGGGTGTCCTGTGGTCTCAAAACAATTTTTTTAAATGAAATGACCCATCCCTTTTTCTTTTTTACCCATATTAGGTAAATGTATTTTGGAGATTAGAGTAGGTTTCACATTCTGTGGGAATATGTACATTAGGTTGAATATATATAAATGCATGAATAGATAGATTTTTTAAGGTGTTATAGTATTATAAAAGTAAACTATTTAGATGTAGATATGTGCAGCAGGGGAGAATCATAGAGCTTTGTGGAGAATATGTTGGCCTAAATAAAACTCTAAAAACGTATGTGCTTTTGAGACATGTCCAGGATAAAAATGCAAAGGTGAAATTAAAAAGAACTTTTCAATTTTAAGCTTGTACGTAAAGGTGCTATTGTATTTAAAGTTGTTTAATTTAGATCATTTATTAAAGTTCATGATAAGTGTGCTTTGGTCTTTTTTAACATATTTATTGCAGTAATAAGATACAAATTGTAATAAAATACAATTTACCATTTTACACACTTTCAGCTGTATAATTCAGAGATTTTAATCACACCCACCTTATTTATTGCACTATGATTTAAAGAAATTTTTCATCACCCCAAATATTCCTTTAATTATAATTTCCCTCCCCATCTTCTTCCCCCCTCAGCCCTTGGTAACCACTGATAAACTTTAGTCTTTATGATTTGCCTACTTTAAATAATTCATATAAATACAGAATTTTTTTTTAAATCCAGTATTTGTTCTTTGACTTATTTCATTCAATAAATCCACACATGAACATTATGCTTCAAGGGCAAATATTGTATGACCTCATATATGCTAAAGATAACAGCAAGAAGTTCAAAAGGCAATTCTGCATAAAGGCAAATTTATGTAGACCAAAGTTTATTGTTAGTTACCAGGAGTAGGAGGGAGGGGAGAAACCACATTGATTAGGGGTGAGGTTACACATCTGATTATCATATTTGCTGTTAGTAAGTTGTGCATCTGTAAATATTGAAGTGGCAAAAATCGTGTGATAGGTACAACAACAACGTTATTAAGAATAGCTGATGATGTTGCTAATGTACAACCAAAAATTGAAGCCCTTGGTCTGGAGTTTGAGAGTCACAGTTTCATGAGACATCCCAGTTAATTGGTCCAGTAATGTATATAGTGCTTCTGTTCTACCTCCTAGTTTTTGAGATCTTAAGTGCTTCTACATAGTCATCTGATACACCACCTGGAGTCACAGTGGGAAGAAGAGTCATGAATAGGAGTAGTATATGGAATGTGTGGTTAATGACTGTATGAGCCACTGCCTCATTTGCCATGAGACCTGAAGAAAGTAGATGGTGCTCACTATCATTCCTGAACCGTTTCATTAAAGATTCTGCAGGAGAATTCTTATAAAAGGAGGGAAATGCAGAGTCTTTAACGTGTATATTTCAAAAGGGAACTGTAAGATGAATTAATTTCTAGATAGGAGATTGTGCTGAAGTTTTTATACTATGACAGTGTTGTTGCTTCGTTTTGGGATTATAGTAGTGAGGTAATTTATCCAAAAATACTATGAAGTTCAGTTCTACTCTGATACTCATGGGATTGACATGAGTCAGAATCAACTTGATAGCAACTTGTTTACTTTTTTTTGCATTTGTTTAGAATTGATTTATGGGTCAGTACTTTTTATGATCTGAACATCCACAGGTATTGAGACCAACAACTTTTGCCAAACTTTCCATATTTGCAGATTCACACGTAAACACACAAATATACATACATGATACCCCTAAACCACATGGAGAAACTCAGATGAACTATAAATAGTTCCCACATTTTATTGAGATAACGCATGAATCTGCCTTCTATAGCCAGGGATATGCAGATTTCTACCCTCACCCAAACAGGAGAATCCAAGAACCCTGTAGCAGCAGCAGCAGCAGCAGCAGCAGCAGCAGCAGCAGCAGCAGCAACTTAAGAGTGAATTGAATAGATGGAGTGCTTTTGTAGAAAAATCCCGCTGCCTAATTTCCTTTATGACTTACTTTGCCAGTAACATGACTAAGTCATTTGGTAACTTGGAACACTTAATGACTTATGCGTTATCTCTTGATTCATTTTCTTCTTTGTTTAAGAAGTATTATGTAGGGCCCGGTGGGGTAGCTTAGTGATAAGGAGCTGCACTGCTATACCAAAGGCATGTGGTTTGACTCCATCATCTTCTCTGCAGAGAAAGATGAGCAATCTCCAGTTGAATGATTTATAGCATCAGAAAACTCACCAGAGGTTCAGCCATGAGTTGGTTCAGACTCTTAGGTATATGGGAGGGGGGGAAAGTGCTGTCCTCAAGGTGAAGTGTGATCCATGAGAGTTTCTGTTCCAGCCCTTGCATATCCACATGCTGTGCTCCAGGGTATAATGTTGTTTATGCTTGAGCACACGCCATTCTTTTTTCTCTGTGTCTCTTTGCGTAAGTTCCATCTATAACTGGCTCTGTCCATTGGCAAGACTCCACTCACCCTTCAAAGCCAAGATGCACGCTTTCAAGAAAGAGCCCTAGAACATCCATTCAAAAGTCCCTGATCCTTCCCCTAAGTTTTGGTTGAGATTGGTAGACTCCTTCCTTACTTTATTTATGAGTTTCTGGATGTTTCTCATTTCTACCTTGCTAGATTGTAAATTGTAGATGTAGTATAGGAATTTAATTCCTCTTATTTCTAGTATGGCTGTGGTTGTTGCATTGATTCCGACTCACAGAAACTCTTTGTGTGCAGAGTAAAACTACTCCATGCAGCTGCTAGAGTTACAACCTAGCAGAGTGCTAGTCCTATTTCCAAAGTCACCTCTGGATGGGTTTGAGCTGCTAACCTTTTGGCTAGTAGTTGTGTGCTTAACTATATTTTCAGAGAGACTCTAGTACAGTGTTAGTTCCTCCTTAAGTGTTGAATTAAATGTTGAGTGAATGAAAGTTCAGATGAGAAGAAATCAGTTCAAGAAGGAAGGTCTAGGATAGCAACTCTTTCTTAACATCATTAATTCTTATTTTAAATTTATTATCCCAGGATGCCATGGGGCCTTGATGACGAATAACAACAGCAGAAATCACATTCACTATAACACTTTTCCTTTGGTTTTATTCCAGTGTAGGACCTACATGATTATATGATTAAATTTAAAATTTGTTTATGTCCTATGACTTTGTGGATTTTGTAAGTTTTTAATAATATTCTCCATTTGCATTTTAGTTCATGTAATTCTTTGGCCAAAGATGTAACAGGAAGGGCCCATTTACCTCTTTTTGGCTTCATGGTCTTGATACCTCAATCTTTAATCCCAGGGCTGCAGCTAATGATCACAATTGTATAGTCACTTACTAGGTCCCCCACTTATCAATGTAAAAAACAAGTTCTATTCTGAGAAGGGCCAAATGAAATTAGAAATGAGAAATTGAGGAAGCCATAAGCATTTAGTGTTTCTTAATTAGCATTCTCCAGTGTCTCTTAGAATTTCCAGGAACAAAGGATCTAGCTGTGCAGTGGGTCGGTTGCTCTACCATGCTGGTCTAATGACGTCTCTCTGCTGAAATCTCTAATGGCTTATGTTTGTCCTCTGAGCCCAGGTCCTCCCCACGGCTTCCTGAGGAAGTTATTTCCTCTGTACCTCCCGTTATCTTTTAGACATCTGCTGCTTGTCTCTGGGTGCCAGGAAGCACCTCATCTTTCACAAATGTCCACTTCTTTTGATTCAAAATGTGGTAAAATAGTGGTGGGATAAAGATGCTGTATTAGGAGATCTTGTTCAAGGTAATTGCTACTTTGAATTTACTACTCTCTGAATGGATAACCTCTACTTATTAAAAAAAAAAAGTAATAAAGGGATGCTGATTCAATCCCTTTGGGGTAGGTGGACCATGACATTTATCTAAACTTTGAGGGGTGGGTCACTCACCACTAGTCTGTTATTTGTGAATTATAAAAAAACACAAAACAACGTGCTGTCTTCTAGGCATTAGTGGGAATAAAGAAGAAGCTTGTTCTCTCAAAAGTTTACATTTTGTGAAAGATGGTTAACAGATCAACTCATTGCTGTCTGGTTAGA